TACTCACAGTTCTCGCAATGACTTTATTACTATTGACCCACCCTGCTTGTAAAGCTCTGTACTGGATAGATACTGATTGACTGATTTCCTGTTAACTTATTTACAAAGTTAAGTCATAAAATTTTATCCCTTGTGTTTTTTACCCCAACCGGTATCCGAAGGGCGATCTGGGTTTTGGATTTTATTTCTGATCAAGTTCTATTTATCCGTATTCAAACAGTTTCTCCTCCCTGCCTATAAAGGTGCTCCGGAGCGCGTCGCGGCGCCACCTATCACCCCAAGGCCTGTGCTTATAGTGCGTACTATGACCGCAGTCAGTCACGAGGTCATTCCTCTGCTCCACACACGCCAGCCATGCTGCCAGTGTGTGAAGCGTCCTGTCCACGCTCTACCCATCGCAGTGGTGGCACCAGACATCGGAGATCTACAAAGCACCCTTGCGTCAGCCAGTATCAGAGGATCCCGTATTTCCTACCTAGCCAATCTTCTATAGCGGGTCTTGCCGCCGCAACACCGCACACTTACGTTTAATAAAGTAGGTTATTTGCGTCCACCGAACTATAGATGTTACTATTATGACATAACAAAAATATGTTAGACATGCAAAGTTATGAGTTATGAGAATGTTTCGTTTTCGTTTCGGTTTTTGTTTTTGCCGCCCGTGTGCGATGCAAGCTCTGCACACCTGTTCCCGGTGGCCTTACCCATAGCATATTGATTTTACTTCTACATTATTGTAAAACTTGAATTTTCTTACATCATAGGTCTTGAACCATATTTCATCGAAGATCAATAGTATTTAATTTTCGGGCATGTTACATAAGTATTCCGCAAAAAAATTGTATTCATACATGTTATTTATTTAGGAAGTAAATAGATTTATTTTTAGTTTACTCGATTTGTAAATGAGATAACCTGAAAATACGCTAACATAGAGATAAGGAAAGCAACCCTTTTGACCCTATTTGACGTATGTGGCATAAAACGATAACCATCAGACCACAACCATCGGACCATCGGTGACCACATAGACTACAAAAGAGTTTAACACAAGGAAAGAGCGTTTAAAACTAAGATTCATCTCAGTCACAGTCCCATCTGTACCCTTCTTGTGTACAAGAAGAAGAGAAGAGAAGAAAGCTTTAGCATATGTTATTCATATATAAAAGCAAATGTAATCCCTACTGATTCCATTAATACTGAATACATTACATAATAATAATACAATTTGTGATTTCACTTTAACAACTATGGTCATTTTCTTTTGATAAGTAAATACAAACGGGATATTTGTCATGTTAATACTAAAAAAGGCTATAGAGCGAAACATAGGGACTAAGTATTAGCAAATGCTCTGACTGATACAGAGTCATTTAACGAAACTGAAGACTGATGATGGCTGAATTTTAACGACAAGACCTGAGCTTCTGAGTGAGGTGGAGAGGTTGTATTTGCAATTATACACGACAACACTAGGTCCTGTTACTGATTTGCCGAAAGATCCAAGGGCCAAGGTAACGGACGGTTTTGTGACTTCCATTACCAAAATTAATGGAAAAAAACCGGTCAGGTACGAGTCGAACTCTTGCGCCGATATTTTACCCTTACCCAGATTTTACGTTGATTTTGGCGTAAAATTTGTAAGTACCAAAATTTATCTTAAATTACAACTTTTTTTATTTTTGGAATTATTCCTTTATTGCCGCTGTAAGACGTTTCTTTTTGCTAAATTTCGTGATTCTGGGTCAATGGGAATTACCATATAGGTTTTCGACCCAAAACCTATAGGGTACTTCCGGTTGACCTAGAATTGTCAATTTTGGTTAAAAACAAGGTCTTACAGCACAAGTAAAGAGAAAATTATGAAAAATATAAAAAGTTGAAAATTAAGGTAAATTTTGGTACTTACAAGTTTTCGCGAAAATCAATATTTGCCCATATCTTTTTATCGTGTTGACTTAGAACCTTGACTTGATTTTTATACAATTAATAGGGACCATAGACCTCAGTATCTGGTATAAATTTCAACTTGCTAGGTCTACCCGTTCCTGAGAAAATCGGTAGTGACACACGGACAGACGGACAGACGGACAAGAAAGTGATCTTATAAGGGTTCCTTTTTACCTTTTGAGGTACATAAACCTAAAAACACAACTAAAAAGTGTCAAACACTGTTATTGATAACAGAATAGAGCAAAGACATTAAAATTGTAACGATAAAATATATTTACATACGTACAACATTCATACTATTATTCATTAATTAACATTTCACACTATAGATGGGCCAAAATCACAGTGAACTGTAACTGAACGGTGATTTATCATTCTATTTTTTCGTACGTAGGTTAGGGTTACTACTTACTCACGCATTGTTGCCAAAAAGCTGGTTTCAGACAATGTATAATATAAGACTATTTCGCCTATTTAACAATAAATCTAGTCATGATTTTATTATTTATAGCTACATTACCAACGTAATAATTTAAAAAATACTACATTTACTGTTAAATAGCGTCTTACCCACCTATAAATATACATCTAAATCACATTTCAATGTGATTTTGTCTCGTGTCTATTTCACACGAATGTACTCCCGTGTCTGACAACGTATGTATTATCGAAGTAGAAAGTCATAATAAGGTATTATGCACATCACCGTTTGTATATTTATTTATCTACATTGATCTCAAGTACATGTTAAAAGTAAATCGTAATTAATTGAGTATAAAGTATCTAGGTATTGTGTACTGTTTACAATACTTTCTCTCGCAACTGATAGGTAATCTATGTCATTTCTGTGACAGACGGTCACACATCTACCTCGTGCTCAAAATTTAGATAATAAAGTTATCTAAATTTTTAGTATAACTAAATTCGTAACTAAAACATGGTTTAGTTGATATGAGTAATAATTTGATATTAACATTACTAATTACTTATAAACATTAGTAATATTTTAAAAATCATCATAGACTGTGGACCGTTGAGTTGGAGAGACAGAAGTATAGAGTAAAACAAATACAAAATTGTTAAAATTTTCGTGCGAGAACCATTGGTTTACCAATTGGTTAACCAATTAACCGGTGGTTACGCACTTATACCTCTTGATTTGCAGGTGTCAGTAGTCACTTACCATCAGGTGACCCATTTGCTCGTTTGCTACCTCTTCCATAAAAAATTGCTGCCTACCATTTTAACACCCATTATCTGTTATATAATTGTTAAAAAATATTGTGAAATCAGTAAGTCGTATGTTCCTAAGTAGACAGTACCTACAACGTCCACAGTAGCTGTAATTATTTTAACAAAACTTGCCAGTACTACTTAAACAAAATTTTATAAAATTAACACTTTTTGTAATCCGCTTCAGACGGATTCTTTAAAGCCTGATGAGTTAGCCTTTCGGCTGGTCAAGCTTCAGGGATTCCCCAACGCGACGTTGAAGTGGTAACTTGGTGGAACTTCTAGAAGCATTTGATAGTATCTTACTACTTTGATCCCATAAAACTAATGGACACTGGAATCTATCAAACGATTCTATTATGCTACGCATGAAAACTTAAATAAAATGTTGAACTAGCCACACCAGTATCTTACCCAGGAGAATCAAGCGGATGGAATGTTCTATTTTTTAAATTATCTTAAAAAAAAAGTTTCTGACATCAACGAGCCTAAATCATGAAAAATAAAAAACATTTAATAGGTGGAATTTGTTTATGTTGCAATAACCTAATTATTTTAATCGATTATCCTTGTAGTAACCATAATTATTTATTTCAATAAAGTATATGCAAAAATGCGCTACTTAGCTGATCTATAAAATAGCTACCTATTCTGTGTCAGTCAGTAGTGTTATAGTCTAATGTCAAGTCTAGTGAAACAACAAAGTAAAACTTTTGATTTTGGTCATTATCTTACTTTTCGTAGTTTACTGTTTATGCAATGCCTTTTCTGTGTGGAATAAATATTATTAGAAAACATGTAATTGTTTTGGATGGTTGCATCATTATAATTTTAAGCAGTTTCTAAGTCTTTCCTGTATTTAGTAATCCTTTGTCTGATTATTGCTTTTACTATAAATGTCAATATGTCATTTTCAGAAAAAAATACATATAATGTGACCATCAACAAGAAATATGGCACTAGTTTAAAAAACAATTGTAAAAAATTTTTCCGTACATCGAAAAACGTCATAGGCAATTTTCTAAGTTCATATTTTTTTATTTATACCGTCAGATATTACTTCTTTCCAACAGGATTGTAGGTCAATGGGACCCTACTACTTTGTTGCTTGCCTTAGTTTACATTCAGTGTTAAAATTGGTTAAAAGGTTATGTTGACAAAAAAAAATTGACGTTTCTAACCGCAGCCATAAGTAGCCATAAAAATTTTTTTTATTCAAACCGCGGTTTTTAGCTGAACTTGCTTTTTATCTAGTAAAAACGAAAACATTTGAATTTAGACCTTTATCATTTTTTATTTTAATTTTACTGTAATTTATATACCATTAACCAGTGTAAAATGAAGCTTTACTGTAAGTCGTCTAAGCGAATATAGCTTTACTGTAAGTCGATGACATGGCAATTTAATTTTTGACGTAATGCTACGTTCTATAGAGTGTTATACAAAATTATACTTATATAAATTATTATACACGCACAAATAATATGTAAAAACGCAAAAAGTTATGCCACTTATATAAGGTGTATTCTTTTTATTAGCTGAGTGCAACTGCCTCAACATATTAAAATTTATAACATTAATTTGCCAAAAATAAAACAAACTTTTCAATCAATAAAAACTTTTTAATACTTTGTTCATAATATTAAATATTACAGTTATAGTATACGTTTTATCACAATTAAAATATCAACAGCTTAAATACGGCTTAAGTGGAATCGCCACTTCGTCTTGAACAGGTGTCGTCCAACGACTATGTTGAGGGTTGGTCTCCCAAAATGAAGGCTCTAGTGCTGTATCAACACTTTCACTTTGGTCTATCTCTTGCGGCGGCGCGTACGCGATCGCTGTGAAGAACGAGAACTCCATTCGAGACTCAAATCACTACTCGATGGTGGCGTCTCTGGAAACTGGGCGTGCGACGTCCATCGACACGAAGCACAAGATGATTTCGGACTTTCTGGTACATTCCCGGTCTTCACGTTTTCACTGTATGACTCTAAGATATGCTTGTAGGCACACTCTAATGGTTCAGGACTTCTACCGCGAGCAGCACAGAGACGCACACGCACGCAAGCGTTGCAATAACCACAACTATCTTCGCGGAGACTACTGCGAACCATATTGTAATGTATGGTAGTGACTATCGTGACGAACAGTTAAGACTGAAGCCAGTCTTCACTGGGCGTCTATATTTATGGACAGTCGGCCGGACAACGCGCACGCGCCGTCGCGCCAACGATAACCCCCGACTGGCGCCAGGCGTTACCGACCGCGCGACACTACAACAGTCGGAAAAAAAACTATCTTTAATTTATGTGTAATCAACAACTGGCAACTTATACTGTTTGTTTGCGTTACTTACCTATCGTACATAATTTATTACTGTATTGCAAAAACACCAAGTCATAACCTTCTACGATTACTACTCAAACTTGTATAAGAAACAGAAATCTGGACATAATGTACTATCACCTAAAATCTCTTGGTAAAATAATCTCCATTCAAACACAACATATAAAGAATCTCAAGTCTTGCAAGTCGCAATGCTTTTATCGCAAAAAGTTTAAAAACCAAAATATTGTACAAGTCCTATGAGACATCGTTATTTCTTTAATCCATCGCACGATAACATAATCACATTAGAATATATAATCTACTATTTTGGAGAGTCCTAATTGTACATACTATGTGAGAAATCCCTTATCAATACACAAAAATTGCTATGCGCCAATAAAATTTAGCCGATTAATATCCCTGTCCTACTATTCTCTTCAAGCACAGGATAAAAATACGGGTCCCACCTTCCCATCCCGGACTTGGAAATCCCTTACAGCTCAAAGGGCTAAAATATCTGTTTTTCTTACCCCAAATTCACGTTATTCCCTTGTCCCGACAGAAAATGATTACATTCCCAAGACAGTGTGGCGTCAAGTCAGTGGACGGCTATAAAATAAACCAGTTAAAATAATCACATAAGTATGGTTGTTTAGAGCTATTTATTTTCTTGACGAAAAAAGGCTTGCCCCTATAACGTAAGTGAGACTAAACTTATCTTTTAAACTGTTGGGGATAAACCGTAAATGTGTGTATGAATAAATTGTATGACTTTTTTTTAACTAATAGCAATGGTAAATAAATGATGTTACTAGGTAGATGATTAATATACTTTTAGAAAGATACGTATAACAAGCGTATTTTTTTTGTTAATAAAGTTTTATAAACTTTTCAGTGGGTTTCAATACTTCCATGACTAAATTCCTTGATTAATTCTAGATGTTTTTTTAATTAATTTTTGAATTTGTAAAAAGATAGAACTTTAACCTTATAGAACAGCTGCGAAATCGAGAGTTGATCGGAACTGAATTTTGATGGAACTTTTATCACGATGACCTTTAGGTATGTTGGCCTCGAACCGACTTGGACCTCGGACTGAGTCCTGCTTGCTGTGCTGGACAGACTTGGCAAGAGGTGACTCTAATTTGAAATACAATCGTAGTTAGTTAGTTAATTAATAATAATAATAATAATATTAATTAATGAATAATAGTATGTATGTTGTACGTATGTAAATATATTTTATCGTTACAATTTTAGTGTCTTTGTTCTATGGGCTTTGTTTGCGCGTACTAAAGGGCACCTTTTATTTACATGGATTAATCGACTTATTAAAAGTTATATTTTACGTGTGTAGACATCGAAATGCCACTAAAGAAAGCGTTTTGCCTAATGTTTGTTTAATGCATTTTGTCTAATGTTTGTTTTGTTAATATTGTTGTTGTTAATTTTTGTTAATAAAACCATCCATATTCTTACTGATTTACTCAAAACTCGTATGTATCCAGACATAAATTTTCTAAGCTACTCATGGATAATGACTTTGCTGTAGGTGTATAATAGTTACCAGTATATGCTTCTTCTTTCAGAATTAAGCAAACCTCAAATAGCTTCGAACACTTGCCAAGTTCAAACATAAATACATATATCGAGGTAATTGTAATATTGTATTTACAAAAAGTCGTCTCTGATTCTATACGGTAAATAATACATATTACGCAAGTAACACTATCGCAATTGTAGTAACATTAGGTAAGAAATTACAAATTTAGATACACTTGGTATTATATTCTAGATAAAGCCAGTCTGGTGCTCCAGATCCTCACTAGTTAATACTAGTTTGTCATCCTCGTTACTTAACGCATCGCATTAATGCGTCGTGTCAATACGTTTTCTTATCTACCGTTATATGGAACGATTTTACACATTAATTTAACTTATTCTATTTACTATTTATCTTAGGCAATGGCGTCAGTGTAAGCCAGTACGGCAACGTAATCATTCCGCTAGATATTATCCATTTTCAGAATCATCTTCATTTTCATACACTTTTCAAATTTTATTTTTAAGTAATGTTACACTTTAGGAAAACACAACGATCAAGTGTTTTAGCTGATGTTTGCTAACGGTAAGAGAGTCATAGTTCGGTACACGGCCTCAGCGTTACTTTTACCTAATGAGTGAGGAGTGAGTGAGCCCAAACTGGGGGAGGTTTGGGCTCACTTCTCCCTTCCTGTTTCTCGGGGGATTCAAAAGGCAGCATCGCATATGCGACTTTTAAGTTGCAGGGGTCTCGTTTGCCATCAGGTGAACCATCTGCTCGTTTGCTCTCTAAGCCATAAAAAAGACATAATGCTGTCCTTGGGAATGTAACTGTTTTCAGACGGAACAAAGGAATAAGGTATTTGGGGAGAGGAACATCGCAAATCTCGTGTGAGATTTGCGATGTTCCTCTCTCTCGGGCCTAGTGTAAGTTTATTTTACTTCAACTCGCTCTCGACGGCGCCTCGTCGCGATTGGTGAAGATTTCAATGCGGGACAATCGCAACGCCGAACGCGGTCTACGTGACGATCGAGTAGAATGGGAGTACGGCACTAGGATTGCAGTAGCTCGAGGAACTCCTGGGATTTGAGAAGCTGCTGGAAGCGTGGCATCAACTGGTTTACCTAACTGCAAAAGCTAACGATATTTTAATGTAGCCTAATCCATTTATGATTAGATTATCTATCCACGTGTAATACACGCACTATTACACTTTTGTGCGTGTGTGTGTATGTCGATAGATAGAATATTCTTGAATATACATTACTCACTACTAATTAAATACAGTTTAACAGAAAACACTTGACCTTTGACTAATATGAGTACAATAGACAGTCTTATCGCTCATGGGGATCATTAATAGACAACCTTTGGATAGAGATAACAACAGGATTATAGAATCAAAGATCTTTAAATAACAGCCAATAATAAACAAATTAAAAAGTACTACAGTAAAGGTAACTAAGTAGGTCTACTACTTAGTTACCTAGTAGCAGATAGTAAATTAAGACTACTAATAAAACCTCCATTTTTTTAATCAGTTGATTCTTCAAAGCATATTTTCTCGTCAAATAAAGTTCTCATAAAATTATTTCAACAAACATTTTTTTTAAATAGCGCCAAATGGTATCCTCCCGAACAAAAACCCAACCAACCCAAACCCAAACACAACTCTCGTATAAACGGGGGCAATAAATGCAGATACTTATATGCAGAGGTGTTGGTAACGGTAACAAAGTCGCGAGTTGGATAGTCTTATAGTTTCCCCATCTCAATAAATACATTACTTTGTTTGTTGTTCAAAAAATAATTAAGACTGCCCGGATGGCGTAGTAGTGGTTTAAAGGTTTCCACCAAACGGATCGCATCGAATCGCCATGAGCTTTGTGGGTCTCCACATGGGACAACACTTTGTATGATCCAGAAATCGTTGTTCTGAGTCTGGTTGTTCCTTGTATCCGTTTGAATGAATGTTCGTGAGGTCCCCCGCTACACAGGATATATTCCTAGTGCTTGAATTTAAAAAAATAAATACATCCTTTTTCATATATGACAGAGTTCTGAGTTTTATTAAGCCGGTTAAAAAAGGCGGTCTATTACACTTAATCTAACAGAGTTAATTTAGTTGTAATAATTTTCATTCTTAGGCCATTATCTTATATAATATACCCGATTACCATTACCTTATATTTTTTCAGCACTTAATTATCTAGCGTTAATAAATTGAGTTTATTACTTACTTCAGGAAAGTCATTGTTGTCTCAGATTATATTCTTTTTACAAGAATTGCGCAACTAACTTTTAACATTATAAGGTATAGAGAAAAAATATTTAAACTGAACGATATTAATGCTTCGTCTAAATGTTGTAAAAATATTGTTCCTTTAGTCTGTGACCAAATAAAGGGAAGCACTCAATTAGCACTTAATTATATGGCATTAATAAAGTCAAACATGATAAGTTAGTTAAGTATGTATAATGTTTGTGGTAAGGAATCGTAATAAATTAGCCCACCAAACTTTTTAATTAAATACTCTAGGATCACCTTATTAGCACTTAATTAATAGTTAGTGAAAACAGTAGAAAAATATTTCCTCGATTTCATCTTAATCCTGTAGTGATCATGGTTCTTTTAAAATGTCATGCTGATCTTTTCTTTTACATACAATGAGCACTTAATTAGCATTTAATTCAGGAACGTCATAAATTTATGTTCGATCACAAGTTCCAATTTTTTTTTATTTATAATTTTGGAATCAGGTAACTCTACATTTTTTCTTCTTCTATGTTTAACCGAATTATTTCGTGTTTTCGGAAGCACCTTATTGGCACTTAATTTTTAATTTCATCATATATTTGATTTCGATATTTTTCGCTTTGTTCCAATTAAACACTTTTATTGTTTTTATATCGAGTATCTAATTCTTTGTACTTGTAGCACGAAGCAAGAAACTACACATATCTTACAAATATTTACAAATTTATATACATAGTACAAGCTCTGCTTAGTTTGGAACTAGATGGCGTTGTGTGAATGTGGTAGAATATTATTATTTTGGGTATATTTTGGGTTTTCATTTTTATTTTCTCAGCTTTTTAGCTGGTGGATGTGTACATTATGTTGGTGTCGTGTCGTCTAACTGCATGAATTTTCTGACGATTCTACATGTGTTGAATTTAGAGGTTTTCTGAAAACTTATATAAACGAATTCTGATAAACCTAATTATTTTAAGCTATGGAAA